TAATTTATAAAGTTTTCCATAATATTTTGAAAAATTTTGACAAACAAAAAGTGCACTCTTTATTAACACAATTAGGAGGGAAATTTTCGATCATATTATAAAGAATATATTTAATTCAAAATTTTTCAATTCAAAAATTTTAAAAAATATATTGGTATTGTCAGAATTATGTCGCCCTCTTTCCTCTTTTATAAATTTCCTTTAAAATTTTATTATTAAAATTAAGAATTGTTCAATAAAATCTTTCATATTATTGATGTAATAATTTATTGATTTTGATTTTCATTTCCATTCTCAATATGCTAATTTCTATCTATACAACAAACTAAACATTAATTTTGAGTAATTTTTTTTAATTTCAATCAAATTTTCCTACAATTTAATTTTGTTCACAAGAGGAACACTTTATTTTATACATGTATAATTAATTAAAGAGTAGGAAAAAGGCGGAGTTCGTTCCTTTCTTTTTTTCTTCGTTTTTATTTTTCTGATCGGATGTGACAATTACGATGAGTTTAAAAATTGGGTATGGTTTGTTTGCAGACGATAAGACGCGACAACAACGACGATTTCCGGTGGTGTGTACACGTGTTCATGCAACTTTTTTGTGATCATTGTTTAAGGTTTATTTCAATATTCAATTGTATTCAAGGAAAAATGAAATTATGTAAATTTAAATCCAAAGATATTTTATAAAATGATAACGAACATTATTGTAATTACTATTACTTTTCAAGTCTGTATTATTCTACTGATTACGGTTGCTATTATCAGTTTGCTATCATTATTGCTTCTTAATATACTATTTGCTCACTGTTACAATTGGACTAATTATCAATTCTTACCTGGTTGTTAATTATTTAATTATTTATTCACATTTATAAGTTGAGATCGAAGAAAAAAAAGAAAGAGAAAGTGTTGATAGAACTATACATTTAATAAATTGAACTTATCACAATTATCTTTCCTCATTCTCCAAATTATCAATATATCAAACAATAAAAAACAAATTTTTCCCTTAAATTTTTTTCTGGGTGATGAAAAAATTTTTTAAAAATTTATGAGAGGAAAAATATTGCAAAATGATTGGTAATGGCAAATTGGCTAAGTCAATCGGATGCAGTCGTCTATTTTAGTTTGGAAAACGGAAATCAGATGTGTTCAGTAGAGCAATTTACTATCACTCTTTTTTCATTTTGGCGTTAATTTTAAATATTTTTCATCAAAATTATTATATGAATGAAGTTTATTGTGTGTAAGGAAAATATAAATAATAATGAAGCAATAAATAGGCAAAATGACTAAAAGAAAAGGCAGAAAAAGAAGCAAACAAAAAAATATAAGCAAATAAGGTAAAGTTTAATAATAATTAGCAATAATATTAATAAAACTATAAAAGCAAAAATGACTTATCTCATGTATATCTTATACTTCAAAATTAATTACATATTATATTGAAATAAAATCAAAAGATTCAAATTTATAAAAAAAAAAAGTTTATTTGATTTGTTGCGAATTTCTCTGGATATCCGTTCATTTAATTTATATTCATTAATTTTTCTTTGGATTGGGAGAAAGAAACGGTGAAAAATACGTAGGATAAACAAAAAATGAGGTAATTATCAAACATTAAAAAAATTTATAATTTCTTGATTGGTATGTGCATTAGTATTATGGAAAAAAAGAAAAGGATAAAGTTAACAAAAATTTAGTATTTTCAAATGGAAATCATTAATAAAATTATTTGACAAATAATGAAATAAGTTATTTAAAATAATGAAATAACTATTTACTTCCTGGAAAAAAGATTTCTAGCAGAAAGAAAATCGTATTTTTTAACAATTAGTGACAAAAGAAATACGATATTTAAATTTAAGCATCATGTATTTTTCTTTCCAATTTTTTAAAATTAGTTCAAGAGAATTCTCTTTTAAAAGATTCTTAAATTAAAAATTAAACTATTCTACATCATACACAGTTAATATCATTACTAGAAATTGTAAACAATTTGAAATTTTAAAAAGTACATAAAAAAATTACTAAAAGATTAACCAAAATTTGATAAGTGAGATAAATTTTTGATTGTATTAATTCCAAACAAAAATCCTTCAATTAAAATTTTGTTTTAAAAAAAATACTTTGCCCAACAAAATATAACAAATAATCTCTATAGTTCAAATATTTAATCATTAAAAGATAGGTTTAATATAAAAATAGTTTTTATTTTGAAATTTAATTCCATCTGTTTATTTTTTTGTATCATCAAATTTTTTCAGCCATCGTCAAACTTTTCTGAAACAATAAATGTAATTGTTTTTTATCTTTAAAAAATATGGCTCATTTCTTGTTCATTTGCTATGCTTTCTGTAATTAAACAAAATTAAAATTTGACAATTACCAATAACAGGTGAATGGATTTGAAGAAAATATTATAAAAGAAAATAAAACATACTTAATTATAGGAAATTTAAACTATAAAAGTAAATTAGGAGAACAAATGAAATATTGAAAAAATCAAATATTTAAAAAAGTTCAGATAAATGGTATTGGCATCAATTTTTTTATTTATGCAAATATTACATTAGTGAATTGTGGTCAAATAAGATATTTTGTATTTTTTGCGATAATGGAAATATTTTAAATAGCGAATTTAAAAAATAGCACATTTCAAATTTTTAATTATTAACAAAGATAAAGTATTAATAGAAGTTTTAAAGCTTTCAAACATTTTTTTTTTGTATTCAATTGATTTGCTAATTAATAATCGGTTTATCGCAATTATATTGCAGTGATTCTGATAGATAATCGAAATTAAATCATCGACTAAATTTCTAGATATCGATCGATCAATCTTCTAAACCATCAGATGTATTTCTTTAATTATTGTAAATGTAAGATTTTGTGTTTTTTTTTCTATTCATATTAATTTAAAGCTTTGTTTACCTTAGTAATAAATTATTTAATTCAATTATCTAAGAATATTTTTACACATGTTTTCTTTAGCAATTATAATGAAGCGTTTTTTACTCCTTTCGTTTATTTATTCACATTTTACACCAACAAATACTGGAAATTCTAATAGCAATGAAGCAATGATTTCCAAAAGTGAACCAAATTACCGTATTCTTGGTAAGTATAAGCCGTTGATATATCGTGTAACTTTTTATGCTTATGCGACTAAAAAAAAAGCTGAAAAAGTTTAAAACTTTCATAAATATATTTATAATAAAAAATTATTGTATGAAATCAAATCATAAAAATGTAAAGAAGAAATACATTAAATTATGTCAAATTCGAATTTAATGACTAAAAACCAAGTTTATTTTAATTGCAAAACGACATTTTTTTTCAGGTCGACAAATACGCATACGTGAGAAACATTCAAATCCATACTTATCAACAAATTCATATTCCAATATGTTAATTTATTCCAAACCATTAAATGAACATATGAAAGAAATAATAACTAATGAACATAATAGACTTCGAAAAATTGTACGTTTTCATTTAAACGTAATAACATTACGCAAAAAATCCTTTTAACACTATTTTATAAAAAAAATTTTAATTCCACAAAAAAGAACTCAAAAAATTTTCCACTTTTTTAAAATGGAAAGTTAACATATAAGAAGCATAGTAGCAAAAACTGTAAAGTATGATACATTTTGAAAATGTAAGTAAATATTCCACGTGTGTTTGACGTAAGTAAACATTCTACGACTTTCATATGTTATATTTAGAGGAAATGAAAGTTTACCAATAAAAAAATAGGAATAATTTGGGGCGTTCAGATACCGGCGACCGATATGCGATTAATGTATTGGTCAGACGAATTGGCGATGAGTGCGCAGCAACACGCGAACAGATGCGATTTTCGGTAAGGCTAAAATCATGATTGATTACAAGTAATTATTTATAGTGATTGATGATAGATTACGATGATCATTAAGAGTAAAATTTTCATTTAATATTTTATTTGATGAAATTTTTATAAATTAAAGTTGATAGATGGGTTAATGAATAAAATAGAAGTAACGATATTGTTTGCATAAAAACATCTACTGTTAATTGATTAATTAGTTAATTAACAGTATTAACTGTTGATCGTTGATAAAACTGCTTAATATTCAAAATAATGAAAAATAACGATGAAATATTTTTGTTAAGCTCTGGTGATAAATAAAAGAAAGTTTCGAGATGTTTATGAATATTTTTATAATGAAAAATCATATTTAATATTTTATATTTGATTTAAAATTTATTGTACAAAATCAAATCACAAAAAAGAGGAGAAAAAATGTAAAAAAAAAAATTATATTGAAATTCAATAATCATTTTAGGAATTTAAAATATTGTTTTTAAATTAAAATTTAATTGTAGACATAGTAACGATCGAATAAATGTTGGTGAGAATATTTGGGCAGCACCATATTCCAATTATACGGAAGCGGTATCACGATGGTTTAATGAAGTATACAATTTAAAATGCGATTGTAAACATGCTTATAAGCATTGTTGCGGACATTATGTTCAGGTGCTTGCTTACATTTTTTTCAACATTACTATTATTATCACTGCCATTATCATTAATGGTGATAATATGCTAATTATCATTATATCATGATTACACCATATTCATCATATTATGGCATTCTAATCAGATATCAAATCATAATTGGGCTTGATTATACAATTTTAATGGTATTTTGATATATCATGATTACATCATCTCAACTATGTTTATATTACCAATATCACAATCATATAAGCACTTATAAATACAAAAGTGATGTGCCAAAAAAAAAATCAGTGTCTGTATGTCTAAAATTAATGATAACAATATCAATTATGATAAGACCCTGTCATAATTATTACCATTTTAAGATAGTTTGGTCTGAAACAAATTTGGTTGGTTGTGGATATGCAAAATGTCGTGATATTTGGGGCGTACAAAATCGTGGCCATCAACATATTTTTGTATGTCATTACAATCCTCAAGGGAATACTGTTTATGTTACAAGAAATGGTTTCTTTGCTGTATGTTTCTAACTTTTCTTTTTATTTCTTTTTTTTTTCTTTGCAAATTAAAGATAGCATTATGTTGGAATATCAGAAAATGTTAATTTCAAATATTTCAAAATGTAACAAATTTTGTAATAAATTTTAGAATTAATCTCTTATTTTTATAAAATTTAGATAATATGAATAAATTTCATGATTATTCTTTGACAGTATTTAGATGCCAGCATTTACACGGGCTGGTGATAGGCCACGATGCAGTGATTGTCCATCAGATGCATCAGCTTGCTCACAAGGTCTTTGCTTTACACCATCGAAGGAAGCTAATCGCGATTTGGATACAAATAAAATTGAACAAAATTAGCCAGCCATATGAATTGAGAAATAAATGCGCAGTGAATTTTATTTTATTTTTTTTAAATTTTTATTCGAAACAAAAAGATGTATTGTAAAATCAAAAATTTCATTGATCATTTGCTAAATGCCATAATTGGTAGGTTATTTATTAGAATTGATATCTTATTTATTAGTGAATATTTGCTTATTACTAAAATAGAACTAAGCTAAATGTTGCTTATTTATTGCTAGTTGGAAATAAGTTGAAAGTCTTTAACTAGAAATGAGTTTAAAATGACTTTTTAGCAAATATTTATTGAATTTTTTAACAAATATTTAATTGCTGTTGCAATTGAATTTTGTTGTTTGTTCTTAATGTTATTAGTTACTATTAATTTTGTTATCACTATTATTTTTATTGTTGTTATTGAAGTAATTAATCGGACAATAATGAAATTACATGCATTATCGCAAATAATTATTTAACAATAATGAACAAATTCAATATATGGAAGCAGCAATTTTTTTAAAATTAAAATACAGACAATTTTGTCAAATAACTGAAAGTAACCAATAAGTTTCCAATAATTGCTATAGTTATTTAATGAAATCAGGAAGTGATACATATCAGAATTGTTTAACTTCCTAAAATGAAAATAAATTACATCAAAAGTTCTCTAGTTAGAATCATACCATCTAAATTGGCATGAAATTCCGGTTTGCAGTACCTATTAACTTTATCAATTTTTAATTATGTTAATTTTAATTTCATCAGATAAACTAACGTTAATGGATAATATGCATCAAAAATTTGCTTCGAAATCAATGCTTAATGATTTTAAATTATTAGGTATATCATGAGCACAAAATGCTTCAACGTATTTAACCAACCTTTGATTCTCGAATATTCCGGTGCTATACGATGGAAGTAATTTTATGCAAATTATTGTTCTTATTGAAATAAGAAAATTTTTGGAATATTCTGAATTTACCAAATGATGGAACAAATTAACTGTTAGACATTACCGAATATTGATCTCCTCAAAGAAAACTTTTTAGTATTTTAAATCATCATTAATTAAATCACCGAATAGTTAATGGTTTCATCGGTACTTTAAATTATACAGCACAGGAACAGTTCCTTTTGTTTTATTAATAATTCATTTTCTTTTTCTCATGCAATTTTTTTTAAATTTTCTATTAAATTTACAAATTGTTTTTGTCTTAAATCATCACTTATTAAAAACTACTTGCCAACTAATATACCAATATTTATGATAACATGTAATATTGTCCAAGGATAAACAATATACTTCACTAATAAAACATTACGTATTGATTTCCATTCTTCTTGTAAACTTTTTAGAAATTCCACGAAATCTATAATGCCATTTTCATTAGTTGTTAGGTCAAGAAATTAAAACTTTTAATTTCGATTTTTAGATGAACTCATCAGAAATTTCTTTACATTTGTTTTTGTTCTTTACAAAGCTGTATTGAAAAAATGCATTAAAAAAAAATGATTTATTAACTTAGCTGATATAAAACTATCTTTTCTTCCTAATTCTTATTTTCTTCTTATTCTCTAACACATTTTTATTCGTTGTCTTCAAAAAAAAATTTTAAAAATGATATCATATAGGATGCTTATTTGATTTATTTTATATTTTGCGAATATATCAGTCGATTGTTAATAATTGGATATTTTATTCGTTAAAGTTTGCTGCAAATGTTTTGCACTTGCATTTGCACTTCCATTTATTGCCTTTCTAATATCCAATGCGCTTCATTTACGCTATAGCAAACATTAAATTAAGCAAAAATAGTCATCCATTTTAAATTTTACCAAATTAGCAGAGGTAAAAAAAATTGCATAATTTTTAACCTTTCCCTTTTATCCTTTCTCTTCTAATGCAAAAAGTAATGAAAATAAAAAGTATAGGACAAAAGTTTAGTGTTATTCATATCTTTTACATGCTTTTCTAATATTTCTAAATCTTTGCAAAAAAGTTTCGAATTCGAGAAAAAATTTCATTCCAAAACATTTCTTCTCAATAAAATAAGAAGAAATAATTTCTCCCGGTTTTCTTGACCTTTTAATTTTTCATATTCAACAATTCTTTCTAAACAATCAAAGCAACTTTTCACTAATATAGTATTAATTGGCACTCATGAAATATTATTAACAAAATGTAACTTTTTTTTGTCTTATTCTGTGGGCATAATTTGGCATTGCAAGTAAGAAGAGATAAAAATCGGAAAATTAATTTGGACAAAAATAAACATTTCGAAATTATTAATTAATCTTAAAGCAAAATGAAAAGAATAACAAGGAAAAAAGATTAAAAAAAGAAATTTCAGATAAATTTTATATCACTAGAACTGAGATATGTGAACAACATTGATGCTATAACAAAATTTTTAGGATTATTGAAATTTATAATTAGTCCATCCAAAATATGTCATAAAGATATTAACAGCTGTAACAAATACACATATTTAAATATTTGAATTTTTTACCGTACAAAACTTGCATAATGGAAATTTTTTCCAGCAAACATTTGCAACATTTTTTCTTTTCCCTTATAAATCTAATAAAATTTGCAATAGTGCGGGATCAATTTATGCAGTTTTCATCAATTACCGAAATTTTTAACTGTGTGAAGAAAAAAAAAACTTTATAACAATTAATGCAAAAGGAGAAAATAACTGGGAGAGAAAAGTATATTGGAAGGTATTTCTGCTATAATTTCGCTTCTTTTTTTCTTATTTTTCATGACTTCGTATAACATTAAACATTCCCAATCGTAATAACCATTGTTTCTCCCGTATCCGGAACATCACGAACCTACCTCTTCCGGAACCACTCACCTCCCAGAGCTGTGAACTTCTCGCCGCCAGCCTATCCGTCCCACTGCCATTCTGCCTTCGGAGAGCTGCAACAGAGGAGACGTGTCCCGTGACTGACACATTTGTTCGTGTTAGGACTCGATGTGCTTATCACAACTTGTCTTCGGCTATGGCACAGGCCAGGAAGCTTTCGTCGGTGCGCGCTGCGGCTCTCTCCCTCTCCGTCTCGTTCCCTCTCTGCCACCCCTCCCTCCCACCGTGTATGTGTTTGCTGTCTGTCTGTCTGTCTTGATGCCAGCCTGACAGGACGGATAGAAATGAGCCGTTCGGGAAAGGAAAGATTCAAAGGCAACGGACTTGTCCAAATTTTTCATTTTTACTTCCCTCTCCTCCCTACCTTTCTCTTTTTCTCTTCTCTCCCTTCCTTTTTGCGTCCCTTTTAATTTCTCTTTCGTTAACAACAACCTGTCATGCATAATTTTTACTACTCTTTCTGCTACCTCCTGTCTGTCTGTTTTGGTATTTTTCTCTCTTTTCTCCTTCCAGTATTATTTTCTTTATTTCTTTTCCTCTTTTGCGCCTTCTCTTTTCACGTGCATTCTCCTTGTCCTGCATCCTTCCGCTCTCTTCCATTCATCCCTCAAACTCAACCACACAGTTCAATCGAAAGTTTCGAACCGTGAACGGCGAAGAATTCGCGCCGCGTGCAACATTTCATGCATTCTCAATTCATTCCTTCTTTCTTTCTCTCTCTCTCCTATTACAAAGTGCTAATGCACTCGCTTTTATTTCTTCCAAAAGCTTTTCCTCTTTTTTCTCTTTCTTTCCCTCTACTTTTGCTTATCCTAATACCCATCCTCTTCACTTACTCCTCTTCCTCTTTCTTTCTCTCTGTGCCTTTCTCTCCTTCGTGTTTTTTTCTTTATGTAACGCGTATGCGTCGCTATGATATCAACGGAATCCCTTCTTCTTCCACTTTTTCCTTTCACCCTCCAACTCTCTTATTTTCGCCACTCTTTTTTATTTTTATTTATTGTAACGTATACTCTTTAAGACATTTTTATTTCTTCTTCTCCTAATGTTTCTTTTGTCTCTTTATCTGTTGCGAGTATTACGCCTCTAACAGATGCAAGGCAAATAGCATTGTTATGTGTCTGTACATACATACATACACACATACATATACATGCATGCATGCATGCATGTGTGTGCGTGCGTGTGTGTATGTATGTGTATGTGCATGTGTGTATGTGTGTATGTGGACAGCTGACCACTGTTGTTTTATGCGGCATTCTTCTTTTTTTCCAAATCAACTTGATGCGCGTGCGTTTTTTTCCCATCTTTTGCAGTCACATGCTGCGCGATAGAATCGCAAATGCAAATGCCAAACATGCATGCATCGTCACTTATCATTTTTTTTGCAATTTGTTGTGTGAAAAACTGATAATTTGCTGTAAGAATGCATATTTCTATCTTCGATTATTTGCATTAAGAATCTCACTTCTTTTATCGTGCTTACAAGAGAAATACAAAGGTGCAGTCATTTGCATTACAGCATGTTATGATTGCATTTCAGAAAACCGTTGCTTGCAATGTGACATGCAGTCGTTCGGCAGAATTTTTTGTTGTTCCTTTTGTTTTAAGTTAATGTCGTAGTTAGAATTTTTTAGAAATTAATTGGATAAATGTGCTTATCTGTGTAATTAATATATCATATTTTAAACTGATTATTAACTGTCATGAAACCCATAGCATTCCCAAACATATTTTTAATTCTGAAGTTAAATGATGCTTGCAGGAAAGATTCGATTTCTGTAGGAAGATTAATCGCTTATGAGACAAATAAGCTGGTTGCATTTGGGAGTATAATAAAGCCTTAATGTGACACAAATAAGGGATTGATCATGCCCATTCATGAATGGTTACTCAATAAGTGCACTCCTATACTGTTAATATTCGGTTATGTAGGCAAAATGTGTTTTCCTTTTTTCTTCATAGAGAGCTTAAATTATATATATTTGGAACCTAAGGTAGTACTTTCTAAGGTTAACCAAATTGAAAGATTATTATAAGTAATTAATTGGCAGATTGATGTCTTTTGATGTATGTTGGTTAATACAATACCATATTTGTTAGGTAAATTTAGGTATATTTCTGCTAATCACAAGTATTTATAATGCTTGCTACGTAGATAGTAAAGAATTTCAGGATGAGAAGAGCTGTTAAGATAATTTCGAAGAATAACAGCAGAAAGGAATTAGTGGCTTTAAAAGGCAAACGAAAAAATTTCAAAAGTTTATTTGTTCATTCAGTGATAATAGCTTTTCTGATAGAGTTTATTAGTAAAAAGTTACTAGAACTGGTGACGCATAATAAAGTTTTTTAAATTTTGTTGTGCGACAACGTTTAAATATAGACCTTATGTCACATAAGGAAAATTAGCGCATCTATGGTTTTTTCTTTTTTTTTCAGATTGTACTAGTAACTCAAGGGACGCAAATCCTTACCAGTAAAAATTTGCTCTGTAATCGGTTAGGCCAATCAAGTCATTTGTGGACACATCATTATTGTATCTAGCAAATTTGGATGAAGAAGCGATTAAAAGATAATATTGCCGAGCAGCTTTATCTTTATTAACCGTATCTATTTACTGCTATTCGGTATTACGCATAAAATTGCAACGAGAAATTCGCTGCTAGACGAAGGGTTATCTTGCTGGCGATAACAGTTCAAGATTGTTGGCCCATTGAGGCTTGGCCTCAGATGAATTATCATCTTCTGTCTTGAATTAGACTCAATTTACTTAGTTTATCATACCATCACTCAATCAAAACTGGGAAAATGACTGATGTTCTCGATGAACCATCGTCGAAGAAACCGAAGCTCTCATCACCATCAGGTTAGTTATTAATCATGATGTTTTCACTTGATTTATCTTTAAAATCGTGCTCTAATTATTAATGAAAGCGTAAGATTATAACTGAAAACAAAATGTCTCTTAGAGTTTATTCTAACAAGCCGTAGTAGTTGTCCAATAAATTTTGGGTTCAGGTTAATATTGGCCCAACACTGAGGAGTTATAAATTTTAGTCACTCAGATTTACTTCATTACTTTTTATAACTTGTGATTTTCGGGAAGGTGGATCAACACCTTTGAAACTAATTTTCAGCAGTTATTTAAATTTGTGTTTAATTGCATTTCTAAGAATTCTTATTTCCTAAAGACTTGTTTTGCTAAACAAAACGCTTTTTAAATAGAAGCTATTTTTTGAAGCAGTAATATACCTTGAATAGTCGTTTTATTCTTCATCAAAAAATTTTAGGAAAATGTTATTTTTAGCTCATATTGTTCCAGTGAGTGTCATTTATTAATGCTTTTTAGTTTTATAAAATTTTTAAACGATGTATTATTAAAATGCCAATTATCTTACTGTTGAATCTTGTTGGTGTCAGTTATCTTGTTATCAAATCTTACGATGTCAGCCATTATTAAATTTTGTAAACTATTTCAAGTTGTGCGTTACAGACTTTGATGATGATCCGTTAAGTGAACTGGAGAAATTGGAGCCTTTGCCGTCCATTCTGGAGACAATGTCTCAAACACCATCCAGTATTCATATGTCGGTATGGCATTTCTTCATATTTTCCGTACTTTGCAATACCAAATTTATTTTAAAAACGTTTTCGGATGAAGTTGTACTCATAGCGTAATTCACCATTCATTGAATTTCTTTTACTAAATGCTTTTTCGGAAACATCTTAGATGTCCAAAATTACAAAATTCATCTTTGAGGCTTCATCAGTGGAAATTTATGTAAATTAGCTATTCAATGAAACTGTTTACTAATTTTTTATTAGCGTTAACTTCTATTTTTAATTAGGTTACAATAAAACGCACAAAAATAGTTCATTAATTGGAGTGAAAGGAAAAAGATTTTTCGCATTAGTCAGCAATTCGTCCCACTAATTTAAAGTCTGCTTTTACAATTTGAATTCAATAATGATTTTTCCAGATGAAGTTATTTGAAGTTATATTTGTTAGTCTAATAAACTGTTAATGGCATCAAGATCCCGAAATTTCAGTATGCGTTGAACGTTGATTAAAGTCTAATAGGGGACCTACATCATTTATTACAGTCAGAACTTCGCAAATTGCTATCTTCAGGCCAGTTGGAGCCTATAAAATCTTTCCGTCTGTTGCCATAAAATAATTTCCTGTTTCACTCTGCTTGATAAGTAGTTGATATGTACAGAGAAAATCTATTTGGTAGCATGCATGGTAAAAATTAAGTTATTGCGAGCAGCACCAATTTGCTTGTAGTAGCTGAATGATATCTTCCATCTTTCTTTTCTTTTGTTGAGCTAGCGTGCGAAAATTTGTCATGTAGTCACTGAAGTCATTTTCAGACGAATAATGGACCCGGACCATCATCTGTTGATTCCACTGGCGCTACAAGTCAGCCACCCTCAGTTAGTCATGGGAATTACATGGGACCAGCGTCAGTAATACAATCTCAAGCCGGTGCACCAGCACAAGCACATAATGCCCAGTCACAGCAAAATACTCCCTCGCAACCCAGTGTTTTGCAAGAGTTGTTATTAAATCCATCCAGTCAAAATAATCAGACTTTAAACAGTCCACGGCCACCTTATACTACTCAATATCAAACAAGGTTAGTATTAAAAGTCTGTTTGAAATTGCAATGTAAATTTTGCTTGTAAATGTTGCAAAATAATAGATATTCAATTTTCACTCACTTGATTTAAATTTGATTTCGAAAAAGTGTACATTTCAGGAGTCCAGTGACGAGTGGTGCCACGATGATGGCATCAGCAAATTGTCCTCCAAATGTAGCTCTGTCTGCTGGACCACGAGGATTACGAGCTACTGGACCTCAAATGTACGGGCCTGCAGGTCATACTGATATGACTATGCAACCGGTATAATTCACTAAATTCATAATTATTTGGATTAGAAACTTAGTTTTTAGTGACTGGTGAGGGGAATACTATTTTTTGCAAAAACTTCTTTCGCTTAACAACTCACACAGTCTTTTGGTTGAATATAAGTGGAACATACTGTAATTTTAGCGGTGTATTGTTATAAGATTTGGAGTAAAAGCTTAATTTACTGTACATGTTGAAGCAGTCCAAATTGCAGATCTGTCCCTAACTTTATACCATTTCCAAAATCTAAATCCTTTTAGGGTGGTGGTCCGCAACTAGGGCATCCAACTCAGCAAGGCAGCTATGTTGCCTCACAGATGATGCCACCACCTAATCAGCAATCTTCACAATCTCTTTCATATGCTTATCAGCAATCCGGTTCGTTTATTTTATAATTGATATTTCTGTAATATAGAAAGAATATTCAAGCTATGCAGAAACATTCATAAAGTTTTCGTCTGTGACCTTGAAAAAGATTTCAATGTCGTAACTAAAATTTATGGAAAATCCGAAATTCATTTGCAGGTTCTCGACCAGTTTATGCAAATACAGGTTCTCGGGCGGTTTATGCGCCCGCTACACGCAGTGCAACACCACAAGCTATGAATTTGGCTCGGGGTAGTGCACCAGTGATACTCAATGGAGCTTCGGCTCCCCGAATCCGAGCTACTCATCAAGGTTATCATCGATCACTTCGTTAAAACCTTGGAAGTACATTGGATATTACTGACTTTTCTTAATATTATTGAGAAAACAAATCTATAAAATGTCAAAATATGTTATTGCTGATTTTTAGGTATGATAACAATGCAGCAAGGAGGCGGGCAAATGATGCGAACAGTTATGGTTCAGCAGGGTCCACCGTATGACCAAGGTGGTTATGCTATACCACCCCGTGCATCCGATCCTTATGGCATTTCGCAGACGCAAACTGGAGTTAGTTATATGATTTTTGGCCGTTAAATAATTAGCGAAGTGAGATTCTTTAGCTATAAAATAAAACTGCTTCGATTATGTTGTGTACTCTTTGCAGTAATACTTTTGGTTGTTTATTCACTTACTCAGTTTAAGGCATCACCAAATTATGCGCAGTTGCCGCAGAGCCATATGGTAGCTAGAAATCAACCAATGCCTTACACTAATACACCAAGTGCACCACAAGCGATTCAACAAAGTAGTACGGTAAGTCCAGACACCAAAATTTGCTCAGGCTCTGATTCTTGATAAAGCCGCGGTCATTCAAATAAAACCATCTTCTAACATTAACTAATTGGATAATCCCAGATATTACTTATTAAATGTGTGGGTTTTAAAATTCTTCGAGAAATGTTTCGAAAAATCGGTGCTGTTCATCTCCAGATGATACCGCACATGATGGAACATTCGACAATATCGGCACAACAGCAGCCAAGTCAACAGCCACCACCACCACCGCCATCATCATCACTGACTCACGGAAATGTAATGCCGCCACAGATGAGTGCATCAACAGTGACAATAGCGGGAACTCCCGGTCCAATGTCTGGTCCAAAATCCGGAATACCGCCAAATTTGCCGCCACCTCAGATGCCAAATGCCTCAGCTACTGGTCAGATACAACAAGTAATATTTGTTTATCTTCTATATTTTTAATTTTCAAATTCAATAGTAAAGAAAAATATTTTCTATAAATGTAGAAAAATTTTAATAAAACTTAATGAAATGAGGGTCAAAATTTGCACGTTGGTAAAAAAGCATCCCTAATAACATTTTTTATTGATCGAAATTCAAATATTTATTTATCAAAATAATTTTTGAAAAAAAAAAAACGTTCTTATCCCACAGCCAGCTTTGATGAAGATATCATTCTTGCTTGCTAGATTTATCATCAGGCGAAACATTTTTGAATTGGCATTCTAATTTTTAATATTTTTTAAAATACGGACGCAGAGCAGTAATATATTTTTTTTTCACATTTCTATTTCAATTAATGGTGGAATGACTAAAAAAAGTTGCTTGAAAAGTTGAAGGACAAAAAAACTTCAGTTTACTGGCATGAACAACACTGCACCGCGGGATGGGACATCAATAAGCAGTACACTTCCAACTGGTGGTACACAAGGGAATAATCAAGACCCTGGACGAAGAAAACTTATTCAGTTACAGTTGGTACTACTTTTGCATGCACACAAATGCCAACAACGAGAACGATCGGCGGCACGTGTTTTCTTATTCTTTATTTGTTTGCAAGTTTCTGCATTTTAATCACGAAAAAGTTTACCAGTAGGAATGGCTTCATTCATCTTTTCAAAAATTTTTCTTTTCATTTTTCTAACTTGCTTTTGCACCAGAAATTTTTGATTCTCATTGATTGATGAATAGTGATGATAAATTAAGAAGTATAAACGAAAAATAAGATAGACCGAAAAATTAAGATATAGAAAATATAGGTCACTGTTTTTTTAGAATATTGTCATTCGAAATCACAAGTTATATTATGAAAAATTATGCTTTTTCAGGATGGTGCAAATGGACGATATACTTGCACTTTACAGCACTGTTCAACTATGAAGGGAGTATTGCAGCATATGACAACATGTAATAGTGGAAGCGCTTGTAGTTGTATGCTTTTGCTTTTTTTCATTCTCTTTTCGTTTTTGTCAATTGTTAAACATAAGACTAGATCATAATGCTCCCTTGAACGCATGTAACTGTCATGTATATATTAATAACTTTTGGCTGAAGCGCTGTAGTGTGTGAAATTGTTGGTTATATAAATAACCTTAATGTTAAGCACGAAGAGCATTGTCGATAGTTTAAGAGACAGATTAAAATGAACATTTAATGGGCTGATATCGTAACTCTCATCGGGGTGAATAGCTATATCATTATCTGATATACAGATACACTATTAGCGAGTTGTTGCGTTGTATTGCACAAATTGAAAAAAAAGATTAAAAAATGAAAAAAACAAAACATGCATAAAAATTAGCTTTTGAGCGTTTATAAGCACTCGAAATATTTACAGACCCTCACTGTCCGTCATCACGACAAATCATTTCTCATTGGAAGAACTGTGTGCGTGACGATTGTCCAGTATGTACACCGTTGAAAAGTAGGCAAAATGTAGCGCAAGCAGTTGATCGACGAACTGTTTCTGGTAAATCCTAGCCTGATATTCGCTAAATAATTTCATTACATCATAGTTATTTGAATTTTTCCAACTTTCTCCTGCAAAGTGTTTTTCATAAGTATTGATAATTTGATTTATAGAAATTCATGAAATATAATTTAGGCGTTGAACCGTTTGGAACTACCGGCGTAGGATCTGCGCAACAAGTACCATGTGGTCCAGGTAATGCGACAGACATTGACAATGTTGGTATGCCAAATCGAATCAGTACACAACAACAGCAACAACCACAGCAGCAACAACAGCATTCTGGACCTGGTACAGCTCTGCCACCAAATACAAATTCACACAACGTGTCAGCATATGATTCGTCTGGACCCACATCGATCAACGCTTTTCTAATAGATTTCAACCCCTCAAAGTGAGTTTCCCAGAAGTTTTCCGATATTTAGAAATTTTACTGAGATAGTGTTATTGTTCAAGGTGTTGTTCAATCAGTTAAATCTCAAGATTTCGTGAAACACGTTCTTCAGCGATCCGTTTCGATCACCGAATCCACCGAACAAATTGGTGCCATCATTAGGGAAAGGTTCCGGTATTTTCATTACTTCCAAGGATATCATTGGTTTACCACCTCCGGATGCACCAGTAGTTAAGAAACCGTGGCAGAATGCAGTAACTGAGGATCTGCGTAATCATTTGGTTAGAAAACTTGTAGAAGCAATATTTCCGTCACCTGACCCAGCGTCAATCCATGATCAACGTATCAAAGATCTAGTCAATTATGCGCGAAAAGTTGAAAGAGAAATGTTCGAATTAGCCAATGATCGGGTAAGAATAGAAAAATTTACGATAAAAAGCAATTAAATAACGAAAATTAAATTGCGAAACAATTATTTAGCGTCTGTAATTAAATTTTACTCATGAAATTAATTGCAATGAGTTAATCTTGCATCTCTTGTTACTCATGATATTTTTCAACTGACATTCAACCTCAACCATTGCTGATTAATGTTAATTCTTGCATTTGTTAGTATTTTCTTCAAGCTGAAAAGAAAATTTCCTTTTTCAGGGAGAATATTACCACCTGCTTGCGGAAAAAATCTATAAAATTCAAAAAGAATTACAAGAGAAAAAAATTAAACGATTACATGAACAAGGACAAGCAAGTGCCGTGGCTGGCATACAACCACCTCAGCCAGGTGGTTCGTCCTTTACATTACGTAGTACAAGAGTGACGAAACTTAACGAACTAAGATTTTTAATGAGCCAATTTAGAAATTAATGTTGTTTGGTATTAGATTTGCTACCATAAACTGTCAAGCGTGTTAGATGTTTGATGTTTGAAATCAGTGACTGTTTTATTAATTTTATTAGTACAGTAGATTTTATTCTGTTAGATGTTTATCTGATTTCTGTTTCAGTTGACTTCGATATGCCCGGCCCGCCGAATCGAACAACACCGTCCTTCCAACCAAACACTAGTACTGGCACACCACAAATGAACGGATTGTCTACCTCTATGAGTAAATTAAAATTTCTTTTATTATAAGGATTTTAAAGAAAAAATGCATGTAAGTCTTACTCAACGTAGAAGTTTCAAATTTATTAATGTTTAGAATTTAAGATTTTTGTTGTTTCCATTAGTTTTCTTGAAATAAATTCTTGGCATGCAGGTGGAAATGCAATGACGAATGGTCAGATAGTGACTTCAGGGATAAAAATGGAAGTGCCTGGTGATGTGGCAATTGGTACTGAGCCATCAGGTGCAGCGGATGCTTCTGGATGTTGCTGTAGGTTTCAGAGAGATTAATTTTATTGAATTTCTCTCGGTGAATAGAAACTTAAAAATAGAAGGTTTGTTAGGTGGGTTTAAAAAAATCGACTGGGAATTTGATCTTGAATTTCAGGGAAGAATCATACTAAAAATTCAAGAAAAGTAAGTTTTCATTAGGTTTTCATACTAATAATAGATATTGCAGTGATTTTTCGTTATAAATGATAGCCTTTTTAGCGAAACCTGGAACATCTAATATAACAAACACAGAAAAGGCTAAAGCTTCCATTAGTGCAGTTAAAACGGAAATGAAAGCTAGCAAAGCTGATGGTAAAGGCGAAACGAAAGTTGAAGAAAGAAAGGAATTACCTGATAAGGTATTTACATAAGAAAACAGTTGATACATCTATAGTCAAAGATATTTTTCATCACTTGCATCAATTTAACGAAATTAAGGTATTTGATGCCAATGAATTGCGAAACAGGATGAAACCAGTGTTGGAAAGAATTTATGCTATGGAAGAATCACTACCGTTTAGAATTCCCGTCGATCCGGAAATTCTTGGCATTCCGGTAATCGCTTTTTTTTGCAAATTTATTGGATTTTAACATTGAATATTTTTGAAATCAGTGATACGAGTTAGCTAAACTTGTAAAAATTGCAGGATTATTTCGATATTGTCAAGAAACCTATGGATCTGTCAACAATAAGCAGTAAACTTGATACAGGTGAATATAAGAACCCATGGGAATTCAGTGATGATATGTGGTTAATGTTTGATAATGCTTGGCTATATAACCGGAAAAATTCAAAAGTTTACAAATATTGCAATAAGGTAATTTCTTACGAAACTTTAAAGAAGTAAAGGTTTTTAGAGATGATAAAAAAGCAAGTGTATGGTTTCAAATATTATTATTTATGCGTTAAAAATACTTTATGTGCGAAAATAGAGTTCATTGATCCAGTAATTAGATAAAAGTTTTCAAGGGCTAATAATAGGGTTTTGTAACTTGACACCTCAATTTCTGAAATCTAAGTTTCGAAAAAAATCTGAAGAGAAAAGTGGGAGTTATTTGCAGTTGAGTGAAGCCTTTGTGGAAGAAATCAATCCTATAATGCAAAAAATGGGTTACTGTTGTGGCCAAAAATTGTCGTTTACGCCATTGGCATTATTTTGTTATGGCCAGTCAATGTGTACCATCGCACGTGACCAGATATATCATGTTTATGAGACAACGTAATTTATCTTTTGAATTTTTTAATTCATTATGTTGTTTGTATCTCCACATCTTTTTTTACTCTAAGTACTCGTCGATGCTAAAATTTTAATGATGTAAGTAAATTTCTTTTTGATTTAATAAAAACTGCAGAGCTATAAAGTTAAAAAACGACGTTTTAACAGGAATAATAACCATCATTTTTTACATGTTCCAGGTCAACCCAATATGGTGTAACAGTTTCGGAGCGTTATACATACTGCACGAAATGTTTTGAAGCTTTACCAGAAAGTGGCATAAGTTTGAGTGAGAATCCAAATGATACTTCTAAGTAAGCTTAATTATTTTTGAAGATATTGGGAATATTGGGAGGAATACCGTGGAAATCGTAATAAATAAATTTTGTTTACAGTATGGTGCCAAAATCGAAATTTGTACAAATGAAGAATGATCAGATTGATGTTGAGCCATTTGAAAAATGTATCAAATGTTTTCGGAAGTGGCATCGAGTGTGCGCTCTTTTCAACAAAAAAGTAAGTCGTATATCAAATGCTCCCAAGAGGTCCGTACCTAAAATCCTTGAATTCGTCTTGAGAGACCTACTTAAAGCTCCATATTTCAGAAGTTATCTTAGTCTGACAGTCCAAAAGAAAATTTTACTAGGAAATTTAGAGCAGTTTTAATTTATGATAGTGAGCAGTGACCTCCAGACATGTTCTCTGCCATAACCTGCTTCAGAGCATAGGTTTCCATGGTTTTTCATACTGTGGTAGCTTTGGTGTATTGCAGCGTAGTCATGAGATTTCTCAAGATTTAGAAAAGGTGAAGACTAAGTGTATGAAAATATATCTAGTCTTCATTTTTAATAAATAAATATAGAAATGGTTCTGAAGAAATAATTATTAGTAAAAGCAGGAATAGGGAAAATATAAGTGAACAATCAATATAATAGTTGAACTTTCTTATATTACTTCGTATTACTGGTTATCATTTACGAGCTTGGGATCCTAACATTTCTATTCCTTTTATTTCTTTTTCATTTTATCTTGTTCCAGGTTTTTCCGGACGGATTCATTTGCGCTACGTGTCGTCGCGAAAAAAATTTAGCACCAGCAGAAAATCGTTTTACAGCCAAGAAATTACCGCATTGCCAATTGTCACGATTTATCGAAGAACGTGTCAACAAATTTATGAAGAATAATCCTGCTGGCAAAGATTATGAAGTTATCATTCGTGTACTTTGTGCAGCTGACAAGGAAGTGGAAGTGAAGCCTTTGATGAAACAAAAGTAAGAAGACATCTTGACATTACAAATTTTCCTAAGTAAAGCGTTTGAGTAGTATTATTGGAATTGCGTAATCATTTTGCACTTTGGGTATAGAGAGTGGTTTTTATCTAGTTTTAAGAAAATGTACTAACTCTTGAGACATGGAACTTTAAGAGAATGTACTAGATATCCTAAGACGAATTCGAGAATTTTTAGGTACGGACCTCTTGGTTTTCCGGAAAAATTTCCGTATCGAACAAAAGCAATTTTTGCTTTCGAAGTCATTGATGGCGTGGAAGTTTGTTTTTTCGGTTTGCATGTGCAAGAATATGGAAGTAACTGCCCACCACCAAATAAAAGGTATTAAAATTTGAAACTCATTGCTTGTTTGTTCAGATTTGTTTAAAATTCTGAATTTCTAGATAGATTTCAAAATCTTTTTAAACATGCTTAATTAGAGATGATGGCTTACCATTAATGTTTTTAGTATGATCTATTACTTTCCAGACGCGTATATATAGCCTACTTGGATTCAGTGCATTTCTTTCAACCTCGACAGTTACGTACGGAGGTATATCATGAAATCTTGTTGGGTTATTTGAATTATGCAATGATGTTGGGTTATACAATGGCTCACATCTGGGCATGTCCACCATCCGAAGGCGACGACTACATTTTCCACTGTCATCCACCAGAACAACGAATACCGAAGCCTAAACGCCTTCAAGATTGGTACAAGAAAATGCTTGACAAAGGTGTGGGCGAGCATACAGTTTTTGATTACAAGGATATTTACAAGCAAGTGAGTATCTAAGCTTGATTTATAAATTTTTCGATTAGAATGATATTATTGCAGAAAACATGCATTTTTATTTTAATTGTATATCAAAGTATTAATATTTTGATCAGTTAAGATCACTCAACTGAGGATTTAAAAACAGATGACTTATAGTCTTATTCTTTTCTCTCTTCCCACTTGATTAGTAAAGTCATATATTCGTAATCAGTTTGTATCGCTTTGTTTGCGAGAATCTTGAGAGTCTAACTCTAGATATTTGAAAAGGCGTGAGTTATTGAGGTATGATATTTGAAATCCTTGGAATTTATTTTCTACTTCTTATAGGCACGAGATGAGAATTTGGTGACGCCGATGGAACTGTCTTATTTTGAAGGGGATTTTTGGCCTAATGTAATCGAAGACTGCATTCGTGAAGCACAAAATGAGGAACAGGAGCGCAAGCGACAAGAGGAAGCGGCACGCCAAGAACAACAAAATGCCGAAGATGAAGATGGTGATGATATGTTCCATGATGGAGATAATGGAAAAAGTAAAAAGAACAGGTATTGTTGTTCTTTGTGTATAGATGGGTTGTAAATAATTCATGCTTTCGTTAATATAGAAACAAGTGATAGAGGCATAAGTTTTAAAAAGTGGTCTGAATGACAACGTTGAAAAAGATCTCGATGATTTTTTCAGTAACATAGTTTGAAATTTTGATTGTTTTAAGACTTTGAATACGAATTTTTTCATTTCAGCAAAAAGAAGAATAATTTGAAAAAAGGTAACTCGAAGAATAAGAAAAAGGTTTGTTCACAAACGGGCAATGAAGTCACTGATAAATTGTACATAAACTTCGAGAAGCATAAGGAAGTATTCTTTACTATTCGACTTATGAGCCCGCAGTCGGAATTATCAGCACAAAATAATGAAATTAAGGTATGTTGTGTCGATAGATTTGTTGCTAAAATCTATCGGCTAAAACTCAACAAACGATCGGTCACAGCAGAAATTTTGAATGTGTGAAATAGGACATGTTTTTGGGAGATTTATTCATGATCAGATTGGTTGAAAGAATGTGATGGATAATATTGTTAAGATAACAATGTTGCTGAACTCAATTTCTCTTTAGTGTTCTTTGCCGTATTGGGTCGCAGTGAATTAATCTGTTATAAACATGAATTGAAGATCTGTTTATATATTTTAAAAAAAAACATATGATTCTGGAGTTTTTTCACTAATTTTTAACATTTTCAGAAATATGTCTAGTCATTTTCTAGGATCCCGATCCATTAATAGCAAGCGATCTTATGGATGGCCGTGATACATTCTTGACACGTGCTCGTGATGAACATTGGGAATTTTCCTCATTACGACGCGCCAAATATTCTACGATATGCTTTTGTCATGCATTACACAATCAGGAGAAGAGTGAAGGACTTTCGTACACTTGTAATAGTTGCCAAGGAACAGCTATTTGGCATTGTACAACCTGCGAGGTAAGCCTTCAGAGGTTTATATGTCTTAGGGATAAAGGAAGAATTGATCTTAAGTAATCGAAGATTATGTTTTATAGGTGTTATTTTGTCGACTTTATCATTTGAGAACTTTTTTTTTCAGGATTTCGACCTTTGCAATAAATGCTATGAAACAATGTCCCATCCACACAAATTGGAGAAGGTCAATACATTGGTGGAAGTAGAGGATAAACATGATGCAAGCAATTCGCGAACTGAAAGCATTCAGGTAATTTCTTGGTTTTTATGACAGTTTTTTTTTTTCCAAAATTTCGAAGATGAAATTAAACTTTTGCAAAATCTCATATTCATTATTACTATAAACTTATATTGCAGCGCTGCATTCAGTCACTGGTACATGCATGCCAGTGTCGCGATGCAAACTGTCGCCGTTCAACGTGTCACAAAATGAAGCGTGTTGTGCAACACACCAAAGGTTGCAAAAAGCGTCAAAATGCAAATTGCGCTATTTGCAAACAACTCATTGCTCTGTGTTGCTATCATGCCAAGCATTGCAACGGGACTTCGTGTCAGGTAATTTCAAGTGTCGTTTCCAAACATTCGACAAATATATTTTTGAGACGTCTTGGAAATACCAATTTTTCCTGCGGGGAGGTTTCCATGATGTGTTTATGTGGTCTCTTTTTAATTATTGCTTCTTTAGGTTCCATTTTGCCTGAATATTCGCCAGAAATTGCAAGAACAACGAAGATCACAGAATCGTCGTGCTGACATGATGATGCGTCGACGTATGGATATGCTTTCTAGTGGTTATGGTGGAACCAACACACCAGGACCATCGCAATCTAGTGGTTAGTGGAATTGAAGTTTATCTGATAATTCTCGGAACTGCGAAATCAGCTTAAAGAATGGTATTCAGATTTCGTTGTGCCTAGCTGTTCCCAGAGTTATTGATTGTTTTGTTTTAAACTTACGGAATACATTTGTCAAGCCATATCAATTTACAAAAAATTTGTGTAACATATGCCCTTCGATATTCTTTCCGTTCTGGATTCCTGCAATTCGAAAATTCTTAGATGGATTTCATCTGTCAAACAGCGGGGAAAAGAAAAGTTGTGATTTTTCGGAATGAGTGGAATTTCACAGCATGCATCTTTCAGGACCAACCGGTGCAATGAATATATCCCAGACAGTGACGAATCATCATGGTGCTGGACCAATGCAAACTTATCAGGGTACGGGTATAGCGCATATACAGCACATACAAATGGGACAACCGCAGAACGTAATCTCTTCTGGCCAGCAACAAATGGCGCAAATGCAGCAGCTACAACCGCATCAGTATCAGGCGCATGGAAAAGGTTGGAGACTAATCGTCAGAAAATTAGGATCAACATTAATATTTGATTAAAGTTAGACACTTCCATCCCTTTTCGTTGGTAACATCTTGTAAGTAGATTGATACAGATAATATTTTACATGGCCTTATTGCTCAAGACATCATATACAATCTTAGTGCATTTTTAAAACTGGAAAGATTGTTGGCTAATAATAGCTACTAGTAGTTTGACCGAACTTGTAATGTCCGTTTTTTTTTTCTGTCAAGTATCTTATCTATCATATCCATTTCTTAGTCTGTCCATTATCCATTCCTTATGTCCTAATATATAACGCATTGAAGTGATAAATGGCAATGAATATTCTGAATATTATTCTCTAGCTGATATCATTGACAGAATCCCTACGTAAAAGTTCAAATTAGATGTATCAATAAACCAATGTAAATGATAACTTGTATATCTGTTGAGCAATAAGTTGTTATGTCACTGCAGCTATTCAGAAAATAATGCATGATGCTATTGATGATGCGGTCATATTGTAGGTGGTGCTATACAAGGCAGTTCACAAATACACATGATGGGTGTACCGACAACAATGCAGCAAGACCATACGATATCACAAGTTCAGCAACAACAAGCGCCACATCAGCAAGGCGTACGTATGAATATGGTTTGTTCACAGTGTTTTTTTTTTCCGAATGTTGCAAAGATCAAAAATATTTAGAAATAGAACACTTATGAGTAAATTCAGTTTAAATGAATAGTTTAAAGGGAAGGAGAGGAAAAAAATAAATAGCAATTGATGTGACTTCACATAATCTAAGTTTTCTCTGGTATTAGACATCACAAATGGGGGGGATGCAAAGGCCCGGAATGGTTGGACAAATGCAACATGCCCAACAGCCGATGAATCCTCCACCATATGGACGTGGTGCTACGCAGCAAAACGCCTATAGTATGTCTGGAACCGCAGGACCTTCCTCTAGCTACGGAAGTAATGCTGGACAACCAATGATGCTTGGACAGTCTATGCCGCAGAATTCACAATCACAACCAATAATGCAACAGGGAATGCAAAATTTACGAGGTTTTTTTTTCAAATTTTTTCTTTCATTCTTATTCTCTTGATTTTATTATTTTTTTTCAGGAATTTTAGAATTCTCACAATATTGTTAATTGAATTACTATCACTGTTTCAGCGAAAGCTTATGCTGGACAACCAATCGATCGTACTGCGCTACAGCAAGATCCCCAGGTGCAAGCGATATTAACGAGGTTTAAAAATGCAGAACGAGCGGAAGACAAAGATAAAGTATTGAATGATCTAAAGAAAATGCCTCATCTTTTTGCCGCTTTTATCAAAATGACGAATAATGAAAGAAGTGGTGGAGATGTAAGTTACAAAATTTTCTAATAAAAAAAATAATACAATTTCTTGTGATCTAAAAGAAAAACATCCAATTTTTTGTCCTTTTTTTAAAAATGAAATCTGAGGAGACTTTTCCTCGCTTTCTGCAATATAAATAAGTATAACCGATTTAATTTTTAGATTCCACAGAGCATAAATCAGCAACAGCTTAGTGCCATACAACAGCAACAACAGGGAATGATAAGGCAACCTCAAGTAATTTTTCAAATTTCATTCGTCATACATGGAAAAAAATGGGTTAGGAAAAACACTGTTATATTAACTGTTTCAGATCATTCGCGGGAAAATTTTAATTTTCTAGATTTTTTTTATTTCATGCAACGACATAGAGACTGTTGAATTGTTGGAAAAAGGGGCTGCAAGAATCTTAATTATTGTATGGTTACCTTGATTCTATTGCGCAGTCACTTTTCCTTTATAATGTTTAGATAGTAACTCAACAAAGTGGACAGTGGCAGCAAGGGACAGTTTCACAGCAACAATACTATCAGCAGCAGCAACCGCAGGTATCACAAAGTGGCCAGCAGCAACCTCGCGGTCCCGGTGGTCAATATGCATCGATGAGTTCACAGGGTCAAATGGCCGGTACTGCTATGCCACAACCACAATGGCAACAACAGTTCCAGCGGAACCCACAACCTGTGAGCCCAGCTATGCAATCTCAGTTCAATCAGGTGCTCGATTTGTTTATCTTTTACTGTATAGTTTCTTAGGATGTAAGTAATACATTTCAATATTCCATTTTAATGGATTAAAAAGAGGGGTGGACTTGTTGCATTTTTAGTGTTGGTTGTATAAATTTTTTCAACGTAACTATACAAATTTACATGCATGTAGGTTAGAAGTCATATTTCAGGTTCGTTCACCACCTATTGGACGTTCACCATCCGTGAGCAACGTTACTCAATCATCAATAATGCAGCCTGGTGCGGCACAGCCTGGTGTACAACAAATGCAGCAAGGGACAGTTAATCAAGATCAGCAACCATACAGATAACACAATGCGTCAGTCGTTATTCTTTCTTTTTTGTTGTTTTGTTGGTTAGAGGAACAAGTGTTATGTTCAAGCTCAAAATATTTCGAAATCACTCTTTGGTTTGGGAAATAACAAGAAAAGGGAAGGTAAGGGCCATTTTTTGTATTCTATTTAGTTTGAAATTTTCAAATTTTTGATATTTCGAGGAAGTAAGTTCCTGGATCTATTAAATCCAGCATGCAGTTGTTGACGGTGTGTTGATGTACGTGTTTGTCTGTCCGGTTGTTCCCTTGTTTGCTACTTTGTTTGTTTTCTTTGTTTCTTTGACACATAGTGCTGCCAAAGCGGGTGATCCTTTTTCGATGACGGCTCATTTTGTTTTTAGCTCTTATAATTGTTGGTTGTTTTATTTGTCTTACTGCTATATATAATTTATTATGCCCATGCAAGCTGCATTCTTACATGTTTCACGCAGTGAAAGGTATATCCGTCTTTTGATCTGAAGTTATATTTACTGTTACTGCAATTAATCTTTATTTTTATTTACTTTTATTTTCTATTCTGTTTTAACAATTTGATGTGACAAATTTTACGGTAAAATTTTGGATATAGTTCAAAATAAATTATCGTGACAGTATGCCCTACCCAGCCGTTGATTTTTTCTCTTGTAGTTTTTTTTTTGCCTAGCTTCTAATTTTTTTGTATACTTATAGCGGAATATAGGAGAGGTCAGTAAAAAAAAGTAAAAGTCAGTTTTAATAAAGTAGTACAAGTTTTGCGATATTTGGCTTAAATTTGCCAGGAAATGTAATGATAATGTGATAATAAAGATAATAGGTGGTAAAGCTACGGGTAATACGAAGAAAAGTTAGCGCTTAATTTTGAACATACTTGTATTTTATTGCCTTTTGGTGCCTGAAGAAGAAGAAATTTTTCTAATATTGTCAGTGCGTTACTATCCATGGAGATATCATTTTTATCAGTAAACTATTGTTATTATTACAGCTACGATCAACATTACCGTTTTTACTAGTGTTTGCCGCTATTAATTAAAGAAACGTTAGCAACTTGAGTAAATGCTAGCACTTTTTCTTTTTTATTGAAAATGAAATTGGATGGAAAAAAGGAGTGAAATATCTGTTTTTATATGTATACAATGGAGCATTAGCGTACGTTACGTCTAGTATTCGTACATGAAATGAAAGGATGATGTTAAAACGTTGTTGTCAGCATATACATATATATGTATATATAAATTTAGCTTTTTTATACATTTCGCTATCTATTTTTTTATAATAATTTCACGTTTTTCATATTTTGTGGCTGCCTCCATTTTGATGTGTGCGACCGTATATATGTGTACGTCTGTACGTATACTTATGTACGTGTGTATGTGTTTTCATTTCGATTTGTTAGAGCATTCATTTTCTTTCAAGAGAAGAGAAGCCGATTTGATAATGGAAGCATCATTCATACTTTTGATTTTAGGATTTATTGAGATGAGAGGATACCATTGAATATATTGCAGAAGATGGTGATAAGAGGTGAAAAGTCATTATTGCTACTGCATAATACGAGAAATGGAAAGAATAGATTAAGATAGATTCATTAGATTACATAGTATTTCAAGTCATAAAATGTGATGCTTTCATCAAACAAAAGTTATTTGGTTATTTAGCACCTCAATTCTAGAATGTTTTATGTGATACATCTGCTGAATTTTATTCATAATTTTCATTTAAAAATTAACAGAGTCGTAGTTATAAAAGTAACATATAGTGGGGTGCATGATTGGCAATTTCTTCTCTCTAGTAATAGTTAAAATGATAGGAAATATTATAGTGATTGTGATTGTTTATGGTTTTCAATGTGTAATACATTAGGATAAGATGTAGGAAATAAGCGATGGGCGAAAGTATGCTTTTGTATAATGATGTTGTTTGTTTTTTCTCCATTTTTTCATGCTGTCAACTTACTCTATTAAATCGTTTTATTGATTAGCTGATGAATTAATTGATTGATTACTGTGCATGATTAATTAATTTTGTGTCTTTAAATTGTAAATTTTTGAATCATTTTCAAATTGCTTCCGTTACAGTTTTTGTTCATTATTGGAATGCCTGGTTTTGTACAAATTTTAATTTCTATTTTTTAAATACTTGACAAAATTTTTATGATTACTACTATGTTCATCAGCACTATAAATATTTTTTTTCATTGTTTCTTTTTCCACCCGATAAAATTTGTTCTTTTTTCCATCCTTTGTCTTGCAAAAAAACAAGCTTTGCTCCTTGTTTCTTTTTTCTTTCTTTTTTTTTATCATTTTCATATTTTTTATCTTCTCTTTTAAAGTTTGGGTTATATTGTAGTATCGGTTAATGCTACACGCGTAAATATGTGTGTGCATGTCTGTACGTTATTATTTAGCATAGTTGCAAAAAAAAATGAGAAAAGATCATTAGTTGCGAAAATTGAGGACAATCTTTTAAGCATTTGATGTTTTGCAAAATTTTTTAATATTTAAAGTTAGCCGATATTTTAACTGTGAATTGTCAAAGATTTTTTCCAAAAATAATCAAAGCTTTGTTTATTCCATGAAATAAACCGACAAAAAAAGAAGTTATAGGTTTATCAATATTTTTAATATTATGTTTTCCTCAATTCTTTTGGCTTTTTTCCTGGTAAACTATACTGTGTTTGTCGTTAATTTTTTTTAGACTGAAAATATTTTTCTCTTACTTCATCATTTGTTCTTTGATACTTTTTCTTTTTAAAATTTTTTTCTTTTCTCAATGTGACATTTTATACTTGTTGTATTGTGTGTTGTCTCTAAAAACAAAATTTTTGTTCATACAAAATGGTTTTTTTATCGTTTTTTTTTCAATGGAATTATAAAATATTTTCTTATAAAATATTTAAAGTAATACATAGAACAGTAACTATCACAAAAATGGTTAAACGTTTATTGTTTGGGTTCAGTGTTGTTTTGACGTGAGTGCTAATAAGTTTGAGTTGAAATTTTCTAAAGCACAAATAGAATCGTACTTTTGAAACTACTACCTCCGTGCTACATACATGGAGTATGAAAATGATGCAGGGTGGAAGTATTAGGATGCAAAGTACTGTGAAGTTAAACAACGGGAAAAAGTGCCCGAAAGCGTATTATTAATAAGGTTAAGCCTCTGCAAATCAACTAACGCAGAAATCCTTCAAATAAGTAATCTAATTTACTGAACATAAAGTTTTATCTGGAGTCATATTACTTCAAAAAAAGCTGAAGACGTTATCGAAATATGTATATTACTTGCCTCCTAATTTGCTTGGGATTTATGTGTGAGCATAAGTTATCGGTTGGTTTTCAAATTATAATTTTTTCAATCTCGAAATACTATAAAGGCTGAATGTGGTTATCCCATTACAATAAATTTCTTCGAAAATTATATAAATTTGGAAATTTGTATCAATATAAACTTGCATTGCCTTAAGCGTTTAATTCATATTGAATTTCGGATATAGTTAATTTCTTGATATTACTGCATGAGGATTATTTTCATCTGTAATGGGTTAATCGTAAATAATACAGCTATCATCGTCAAAATCAATTTTTGAGTGGTAATTTTTATGGAATATTTTAAATTTAAGCTCCAAAATCATTTCATTTATTCATTTCATTTTATCTATTTCCTTTTTTAAAAAAAGAATAGTAGAATCGGAAAAAACAATTTGTCTGATTTATTTCTTTCTTTGTTTGTTTATTTAAAATGAAAAAAGGGAAAAAACGAAAAAGGATAATTATATAATAGAGCAATTGCTACATTTCATTATTATTAATTAGAAATATTAATTAAATTTTGGCATATGTGGATGATTGATTACTTGAAATGAATGATATTATTCACTAAAACTAACTCATTTTTTTATTTAAAATTATTTTTGAAAACATATTTATTTATTTCAAATTACAGTATCTTCTGTTTAAAATAACAAAATAACTTGTTGTTCAAGTTGCAGATCTTTTCTCATGACTATATTATTTATTTATTTCACTGAAAAAAGAGAACTTCCCTATTTTATTATTTAATTATATTCTTTCTCTTTCTCTTTTTGTTCTAAAAAGGAAAAAGAAAGAAGGCGAAAACGATACTTTTTTGATGAAGGAAAATTTTGAAAGGTCACACTAAGGTCATCATCATCATCATCATCAACATTTGAAAATAATTTACAGATAAATTAGTAGTGGACACGTGTTAAGGATTAGTCACCTTAAATGTATATGTTCATTGAAGCATAACAGTTAAGTATTACTATTACTATCTATTATTTTCATGCATTGATTTATTCGCTTGCCTCAAAGATTTCATGCCACATTCATTGTTGGTTTCTCTGAAAGAAAAGAATGAATGAACGAATGAATGAGTGAATGAACGAACGAACGAATGAATGAATGAATGAATGATAGTTATGACCGTACCACAAAAAAGTGGTCCTCACTTTCTTCTTTCACCAAAGTATGAAACCATTAAGAGATGCTTAATTGAAAAAAAAAAGGAAAAAGTAAAATGGAAGAGGAAGGAAGAATTTTAAAAAAGGAAAAGAACAAAAGAAGAATATCGTTCATTAGTATAATAGTTCTTCAGGATATAATTATTCATTTCAATGATTGAACATTTATTGATCTGTTGCTTAGATGAAAGCTTAAAATTGACGTAAAATTAAATTTGCTTAAACTAGTTGATTCATACTCTAACTTTTATTACCTGATCAATTAACTAATTAATTAGGCTAATCAAACTACACAACAACAGTCTTGATTTTTTCACTTCAAAAGTTTAAATATTCGAATAATATATGATACATTTTTATCAGAAATAAATTTATTTTTTTTATAGTGTGTAAAATATTTTATTCATTTCTGATACAAACAAAGAAAAAAAATAAAGGATAAAATAAATTTTTATTTAGTATTTTCATTA